TACACTTTACAACATAGCAACTATAAAAATGATATATATATATATATATATATATATATATATGTATGTTTGTGTACGCACACACGCGTGTATATATGCATATGTATAGAAATTTCATCAATAATTTTTTATGAAATTTCTATACATATGCATATACACACGCGTGTGTGAGTACACACACACATATATAGAGAGAGGGTAATCTAGAACTAAAAATATAAATATAGGTTATTGGTTAAACAACTACTACAAAACTAGCTACATTAAGATAACTCAAATAATACTATCATCCTCCAACATGACTATCAAAACTTTTTTAATCCTCCAACCTAATCATGTAATACTCTCATAATAAGTATGATCACCATAGTTCAACCATAAGGAAAATGCAAAAACAAACTTACAAAAGACAACATAACAAATATATAAGTAAAGTACAACTATATTACCAACATCAACATATCAACACTTAAAGAATCAACATAACACTCCAATTTACAACCGTCAACATACCAACACAACATATAAACTACATTACACAACTTATATATATTTTTCAACTTAAACAACACAACAACACAATGTGTCTTCATGCATTTTAACTAAGAGATCTCTTACAACACAAGTGAACACTTTATCGAACCAACTTAACAATGCAATGTTTTAGGCTTTCTAAATCAATAACAAATTTGGATAAAAAGTCATAACTTAACGTGAGTTTACAAATTTTGACACTTAAACTAAAAAAGTATAGTATTCCTATTCAGGTTAGGACAACTTGGTTGTCAACCTATCATAACCTTAGCATGCACAACTAAGCTTATTATGGAATCAACCCATTGACTACATCCCTATAAATTTTGCGCTTCTTCCAATACTTAGTTGGGAATTTTGGAACTCAACTTTTTTATTTACTCATGTCTTTTGAAACGTAGTTCAACCTAATCCATGGGGACATGACATTTTTGACACCTCTAATCATTACTATATTCTTTTATATTACACAATTTTTGACGAATTTGGATCCTCTCATGCAATATTCTCTTTCCAGCCTCTTTCCACCAATATTAATAACTATTGGATATATCTAATGGCTCAAATTTAATATTATATAAATCATTTAAGAAGTTACATTAATTATAAGATTAAATTTGAGCCATTAGATATATTAAATGATTATTAATGTTGCTAGAGAGAGACTGAAGAGAGAATATTGCAGGAGAGGATCCAAATTCATTTTTGACACCTCTAATCATTTATAGGAAAAAATAAAATAGTAAAATATATTTAGTAATTAGTAAGATATTGTATTTTTATTACTTCTAAATTTCTTTTAATATAATTTTTTTTGTTCGTCCATGAAATATCACCGCCGATAATTATATATAGTCAAATTTTCCATTTCCCCCCTATAATGTCAATATATTTTTGCAATTATGTATGTAAAAAAATAATTTAGAAAGTAACAAGTATTGAGTAAATTATTATTTGGTTTCTAAAAGTGTGGCACAACTTCAACTCAGCTCATGAAAGAATAAAAACAACAAATTGGTCCCTGAAACAACAATCTGTCAACTAACTTAGTGCTTTTGTTACATGATTTAGTAACTTTGTTAATGTGCGAACAATACTGCGTTAAAAACTTGCTTTAACGGACAACAGGGTTGGGTTTTTCCAACTTTTGAAAGGGAAATTAGGTTTAGGAATGTAACTTTTGTCCCCATTATATTTTTTCTCATAAATGGATATGATTCATGCAATGTTTCAAAACTAACAACCAAATGTGTATATATTAATTAAATAGTTTATATTTAATAATTAAATAATAAACTAAAAATTATATATTTATTAGATTTTATTATTTATTAATTTTTTATATATTTTTTGAATTAAAATATAATCAATAACATAATATTTTTTTAGTAATTATGTAATTGGTGCAGAATATTTATCAAAAACTCAAACTAGAGACTTTATTTAAGATATATATGTTTAGTTCCACTCATACCAATAATTTATTGATAAGTAATAACTTAATATATAAGTTATTTAAAAATTATAAGTAAATTAAAATTGAAAAATAATGTCACATGTCTCTCACGGGTTTTTTTTATCCAAATTTGATAAACTTCGATAAATATGCTGAGTTAAACCCAACAATTTTAAATTTGAACCCGAAGAGACATTGCTTTAGGCAAAGCATGAAGGAGAATTATGCTCCAAATGGAAAGGTAATAATCCAAAATATCCACTTGTTAAAAATCATTAGTACCCACAAATTCACAAACTAAATAGTACAACAAATTTGAGGGGGACTCCACCAAAGTAATTTCGAATGGCAAACAAATGTCAATGCAAAATTTGGCCTTCTCCCATTGGCTATAATTCAATTGTTTCCCTTCTCAATCGTATTAATAACATCTCTCTAAACTTCAAAACAATCATGTTTCCTCTCCATAATGGATAGTCATGCATTTAAGAACCTTGACTCATATAGCATCAAGATTAGTCACGAGATCCCCACCTAAGTTTAGACACTACGGCCTTATTAAGAGCTAAGGTCGCCAAACTCTTTGCCTATCCTAAGATATAGTATTTACTCTCTAGACTCTAGTGTTATCTTCAAGCTTACCCTTATGCAAAATCATAATTTGCATTGAGTGACACTATAATTGTTTGAACAAGGTTGGAAGTTTAAAATATTGATTTTATCTTTGCACACGTCTCTCATACGCTTACGTAGGGTTCTACTGCCAGCTCCATGAAAATTCCATGTATCAAAAATCATGATCAACTACAAAAGGAAAAATGGACCAAGTTTAGCAACAAGGCTTGATAAGGTCTCCACCAGTCTCGACCTTCATCATCACCTTTCGAGTTGAGTCATCAATATGCATTTGACTCCCTCGCGGTGTTTTTGATTATGGACAACAATAATTGTTTTCTCGTTTACATTTTAGCAGTTGTAGAAAGAATCTCTTTGCTTAGAACATCATCCTTGTCTCTCGTGTTGGGGACGCTAAGTGTCTCTAGAAATATTTCATGATGTTTTAAAAATTCACCTAAAAGAGAAGTACTATTTATTTATATTGAATTATACTATTTAGACAAAAAATATCTACAACACAACTCCATCTCTGTTATTCAAATTTTGTACAAAAATAAATATATAGATATATTTTCTCTATGGCAATTACGATGAAACATTTGGTCTCATGCCAAAACAAACTGACTTGTCAAAGTAACCGTGCATTTTAAATGTTAAAGTTCAAATGCCTCTGCAGCAAACGCTGCTCAATTGCTGAAAATTCCTGCTTGTAAATTGGAACGATTTAGTTGAAGGATGAAAAAGAAAAGAAACAGATTACGTTTGCATGCGTTTTTCATCGATGTAAATCCTAAAGTCTGCATTATATCCAAACCGATGTAGCTAACTACATTATGTCTGAGGATTTCAATTTTGAGCAGAGTTCCCGGAACCACTGGTGAAACTTCACAGACACAATGCGATAAGAACCACTAACACTTAACAGGTCTACCATGAACATAATCCCAGAAGAGGTGTAAGAGGGGAAAGGAACAATAGAATAACCAGCTGTACACATCTAAAGATGAATAATGGTTGAAACATAAAAAAATGTATGTACTCCAAAAACTTGTTGCTCAGGTTTCTTCCTTGACAAAGTAACTCTGAGGCAAGGAAAATTCTTCTTCGTGAGTAAGCAATTCAATCTCATCATCATCTGTTTTCTGAGGAAGAAAGAAAAACCACTACACTTTATCAGCTCTCAAAATCCACAGCACAATGTTAAAACGTAAACTACAAACTAACATCTTATTAGAGGGATATAAGACGAATGTGAAGGAACCACAACTTAATGATAACATACCAGCATTTCTATGTTGTAGAACCGATCCAGCAATTGAAGGACCTCCTCAGAAGAAAAGGGTCTGTCAAATCTGAATGAAGCATATATAATTCTAAGATTATATATCAGAAAATGAAAATCTAGCATATTATGCTTCATAATCAAACAAGCATGACAGAGAACAAACCTCCTCCTAAGAAATTCCATCAGACCATAAAGGACAAAGTGGCGATGTACCCCTTCATGAAAAGAACGGTAGCTGTAAGCATTAAATTTGATGAATCCTGATCCAGCTAGAGTTAACTATATAACATGGGAATACTTTACAAGGATGACACTTGATAAAATAAAAAATGAAAAGTATCAAATAACAACTAATCAAGCAGCATTTGCACGTAATGGAAAATTCAATCAATAATGATTACTACAAATGCTTACTGTTTACTTGAAAGTAATCAAAGTATAATGCACGAAGTTGACAAGTTTCTCAATCAATGATGGTAAATAATTAATTCTTTTACTACATTAATTGTCAACTAGTGTTCACACTCTAGCCAGATATCACTTGCTGCAGAAACAGAGAACAATTTAAGGTCCGTTTACTCTTCATTCCCTGTTTCTGTTTTCATTTTCTGATTTTACTTTTTAATTATAAAACTGTCACATTGTTTTTGATTTGTTTCCTATTTTCAAATATCTCTACAGAACACACTGCATAGATATTTGAAAAACTTTTTTCTATAGATATTTGAAGATAGGAAACAAATTGAAAACAATGCGAAAGTTTTGTAATTATAAAGTGGAAACAGAAAATATAAGCACAAGTACACGGGCCCTTACATTTTGACAATTATGAAATATCAAAGTAAACAGTGCCACCATATAGTGCAGTATGTCTTCCCCTCACATTCATAAACACACAAAGCATCTTTTCTTTGAGATCCCCTTCCCCTTTCTAGATAACAAATGTCATAGTCAAGAAAACATGCTCAAGATAAAGACTCTTCATTATCGAATTTGAAATCCAGTATCACTATTATTAAAGAGGATTTCATCCATACAAATATATTGTATGTGAACTGTCAAGCATTCTAAGTATATATATACACACACACATTAATATATATATATATATATATATACATATGCAATAATTTGAATTGGTGTATTCCATAATTAAAAACTAATAAAAATGAACATTAGTATCTTGTCCAGGAGAAAAATAGAAACACAGTTTGAACTTGTCATATCACTTATTACGGAGAAAACATTTACAACCCAAAATAATACCAACAAATATAATGCTTCACTAATTTCCTGACCTATCTTGGTAGCATGATTCATTTCAGGATTAAACAGATTTATCAGAAGCTTTCCATTTCAATATTCTCTTTCCCCAAAAATTAAACTAGTTAAGTTCTCCTAGACCACTAAGCTGCCACATACTTTGTGGAATTTTACTAATGAAAAATCAATTAAAAGGAGTAATCTAAGATAAGGACATCTCCCTTGATCTCATGAATCTTTGTGCAATTTGGTATCATCAACACAAATCGTACAATTCAATGATTCATTTTTTTTCTTCTTTTTTTTACTTTTCTTTCACCAATTCTCACGAAATAAAAATAAAAATTGGAAAGTGAAATAAGTTCAAATTGTTAAATGAAAGGGAATTGAAGGAACACTTTTGGACTTATCCTATTTGATTATTCCACTACTTTATTTGTCACTCACTCATTCAATGCTTTGTTTCCATTCTTCTAAAATAAAGGCTTTACAAACTCAAATGTAACTAATAATTTTGTTTTATAAGACTTCTGCTTAAGTTGTTTTAGCTATTTCTAGTTTAATTTTTTTACATTAAATACTATATACCATGATTTGATACAAATTATGATTCACAATTCAAAAATTCAAAAACTAGCTTGGTGATTCACGATTTGAATCCCAAATTGATAACCTTGCTAGGAAATGACATGATGTCAAGTCCCATGATCTGGTACTTTAGTTCACACAAAATCAAGTACCAACCTCAATCAGGGACAGGAATGTGTGGATATCAAACATCTTGCAAACCTTATTATTCATAACATTGCCGATTTCTTTCTAGTTAGACAATATTACTAACTACATCCTGCTATTTCTCCAGTTCAAAACAACAAATCATATTTTACATTTATTTACAAATTTTTTCATCCACGTTTCATTTTAAAAAAAAAACATTATTTGTCACATATCAATACCAAAATTGTTATATTAAAATATCCATGATCCTCAAAGGATTATGTGTGTGCGCATGTATTAAAATACCTTGTAGTTTCATTGGAGGGTATTTTTCAAGAGCTTCCAACAATCTCAGCTCCAATTCGACCTGTGCTTGGTCCTATCACCATAATAAACAGATGTTGAATCCAATTCTAAATTCAAATTTCAAAGATTCTAAATTCAAATTTCAAAGAGAAAGACCTTGGGGAGAGAAGAAGCAGAGGAAGGAGGAGGTTTGCAAGGAGAGTGGACAGACATGCCATCTTGTTCCTCCTCTTTGGGTTTCCCAGCTCTTCCACCACTGCTCATTTGTTTCTTTAAAGATAGAAATCTCTCAGATTGAAACTGCAGCAAACTGAAATTAAAAATTGCAAAGAGAACACTTCAATGCATAACTACAAAAAAGCAGTTAGCCAATGCCATTCAACATGACAGTCCACCTTGTGCATTCACATGAAGTAATGCAGCATGATAGCATGTACAACACAACTTATTAATATCAAGCTTATTAATTGTCAAGTAGTTACTTGCATGGGTAACCTAAGCTAATTAGTATGATGGAGCCTGCAGACAATATGTTAAACTCGGGAATTTGCAATTTGTTTGCTCCATTTACTTGAAAGCAGATTAAAATCCACACAGGTACAGATATATAACCTGTCATACTTTTTGAGAACATGGAAAGTGGACTGTTCTATATGTGTTTCGCCAATTGGAATAATAGTCATTCTTCTTTTCTGATACAGAACTCATTATAGAATCATAACATAAGAATTCTAAAACCCAACCCCGCTGCAGTTGCAATTAAAGCCAATAAAGTTATGTGAGTCAAAATAATTGAATTGTGTGGTGTCATGTACAGTAATGGAAATTGTAAGGGACACAAACAAGGTACTACGAGCTCTTCCCAGTTTTGTTCAGAAAGGAGAATTTATTATCTAAATATGAAAAATCGGTTATTTGTGTCGTTTACCCACATCCAAGCAAAAACTACAATATGTTGCAGACACAGTTTGAAACAGGGGTATATTGGGCCAAAAAATATATATATTATTGACATAATACTATTTTTTGTTCTAATAGCTCAAATTGGGTCCACATTTGACCTGTGTCATTACACAATTTCCATAAAACAGATTCAGCAGAGCAGCAAAGAAGAAAATAAATATTGAAGAGAATATGCATAATAGTAGCTGTCTATATATAAAAATTTTCAGCAAAAGAAGCAGGTGTATTGACAAATTCATTGAAATCTGCCAAAAATAAAATCACTTATCTCACTTGATAACTATATGCAGCTACTCTATTTGTATATATGGCTTGATCCCTCAAACCTTTGCTTATGTTGCAAACTTCCACTCAGAAGTTCCTTCAACAACAAATATCTGGGTTGACATCGTTGGTGTTGAGTTTGCCATGGTGTATTATTATGATTGCACAGTTTGTGAGCAATGACCATCGAGAACAGTGAAATGTGTAAGCACACATGGGAAGAGTTCACAACAGTGCAAGCCCTTTTGGGGTTTTCCAACAATTCTCAACACTCTAGACTTTAATCAGTCAATAATTGGTTTCGACGTTTTACTTTGCATGCAAGGTTTTAAAACATGGTTCGCGATCGCAATGATCACTAATTCACTGTTGCAATTTTGGCAGGACTCACGTAAAACCTTGCTTACATGAACGGTGAAGTTTTCAAGCATCAGAGTCTAATTGACCAATGTGAGGTTTCCCCTTTGTTTCGGAGAAAGGGGAACTGACATTTGAAAAAATTAATAAAAAAGAAAAAAGAAAACAAGAAGAAAACGGTTTGAAACGAGTAGCAGCAGAAATCAGAAACAAGAAGAAAACAATTTAAAGAAAAAATAGTGAGTGGAATGAAGGAGAAGAGCGTAATCTTACCGATTGACGACACGAGGAATGGTGTCTAAGCAGTGTGAGGAAGAGGAGGAAAAGCATAAACCCTGAGAAGGAGAAGGAGAAGAAGAAGAAGAAGAAGAAGAAACAGTAGCAGCACTTTATACTATAGTGTACAATACATGACGACAAATACAGTTGGATTATTTGGGCTCCTTCATTTCTTTCAAATTGGGCTTTCTTATTTAAATCAGTTAAACGCAGGTTTTACATTCATATCATTTATATAATTAACACTAGCTAAAATAACGATATAGATACGGAGTTGTGAGTGTGACTCTTAACTAATTTATCTTATGTGTTTTTATAATTTTTTAGATTAGTAATTACTTTAAGTAATAGATACTTTGTACATATTTCATGCTTATCTATAAAAAATTAACTCATTCATATATTTTATAAAAAAATCTAAGTTATAAATATGCTTTTAATTTTAATTTTTGTAAAATAAATGTTGATTATGGTTTTTTTATTGAAATATATTTTTCATTCTTTAAAACTTAAAATTATATTTTTTGTTCCATGCAAAAAAAATATTTTGACTCTTCTAAAATATTTTTATTTGACTTTTATCTTACTCAAATTGTTAATTTTGATCTTAAATGTTTATTGATATATTAATAAAATTTATTTAATGATTCAATATGCTTAAAAATCTTATGTCGTTTAAAAATAAAGATTAAGGATAGTTATAAACATCATTTTTTCTTAACCCATTGAAACATCTTTTTAGAGATAAAATTATGATGTCTCAACGAACATCAATATAAACAATATCTTGAACACGGTCATCCTAATGATATTAGCGAACTAATGGTCGAAATATTGTTGAAAAAGGGGCCCAAGCCACTCTTACCTCTTAACCTTAACTTGAGGGACTTGTTCTAGTATGTCTAAAAGTCTTACATTATTTACATTGTGATTTTAACAATGTCAACAGATTTACAATCAAAATATTAGCGTTAAAAAAAAGTCCATGTCACTTGTGCCCCTAAAACTTAATCGAGGACTTTATTCTAATATGTCTAAAAGTCTCACATTACTTACATGATGATCCTAATGATACTAGGGACTTATAGTCGAAATTTAGTGCTAGAAAAAGGATTCAGACACTCTTGACCTTGACTAGGGATTTGTTTTTGTATACCTAAAAGTTTCACATCATTTAAAAATTAAAATTACAGGTAGTTTATAAATATTCTCCACCCTTAATTTATTAAAACATCTTTTCAAGGATAAATATGTAATGATCCAACAAGCACCAAAGCAAACAATATCTCAAACATGGTGACCTTAACAATGCCAACGAACTTATAATTTGAACATTTACCATTCTTGAAAAGGTTTTAGAGGTATCGCATATTGGTATAATACATCTACATATACTAGTAAGTGCTACCTAAAATGTCATTTAATCTTTTTATTTAGCATATAAATTATTAATAAGTATCACGTGGTGGAAGGGATTAAAAACAAAGTTTTAAATTTTAAAAGATGACAAATAAATAAATTATAGTGAGCAATGTTGATAAATTTGTGTCTCTCTTTTACTTGTACATTAATTTTAATATTATTTCTCATTTTCTTGTAGATATTTTTAGTTGTCTTTTTTTGTTTCTTTCTTTAATCATGCCTTACATGTCTAATTATTATTTTATTTTTGTTCTCCTATTTTAGCCTTTGATAAAAGTGAAAGACCGAAAATAAATACGAGGAAATTATTTAAATAAATTAATGTTATTTACTATTTTTAAAAATTGTTTTTTTCTAAATATTGTTATACCAATTTTCCACATTAATTAGTCTCTTTTTTCATTGTTTTTCTTTTGCAAAGTGTTTTAACATTTTTTTAACTTTATATTTAGTATGTATTAACAAGATATTTTTTATTTATTTATTTGACATATATTCTTTTTAGTTATGACTAAAAGTTGAATATAAGTTGAGTTTAGTCAAGTTTGATTTAACTTGACTCGATTAAGTAATATTTAGCTCAATTCATAAGTCAACTCAATTTTGACGATATATTTTCTTTTCAATTTGAACTTAACTTGATTCAAAATCGCGAATAACTCTGTTCAATCCATTAATTAAAATATCCAATATATTTCAATTTTTCAATTTATTAAAAAATATTATATAACATAATTGTTTAAGTTTTTTGAAAATATAAAATATAATTTATTCTATCAACTTCTAAAAATATATATATATAACTAAAGTTAGCATAAATAAAAACTACATCATCTTGCACAAAATAATAGAAAATACAATTTATATCTATAAAAATCTTAAGGCGTTCACTTCTAACATTATTATTAACTTAAAATTATGTTTTGAAAGTTCTTTCAAAATTTGTTGGAACTAAATAAAAAATCATTTATGTAAATTATATATTTATAGTCCAACTAATTCATGAATCAAATGAATTATATGCAACTCATGTTTGTTCATTTATTTATTAAACTCAATTTTTAACTTCAATTTAGTTCATAAAATAAGTTTAATGAGTTAAATGTCAAAACAAGTTTTAAGCTATTTTCGAATTGGTTCAATCTATTATCACCTTAATTATGAGTTGATTTCATAGTAAAAAAATACTGATTATTATTTGTGAATATTCTCTAACATAAATAATTATGTACATGTTTGTTTTTCCATTCGAAGTATACAAATATGATTTCATTTCAATCCATCAAGATATGTACCAGGGGCAAATGTAGGTGCAACGGTACGGGGGCAATTACCCCCCACAAGATATTTTTTTTATTTTAATTTATTGTGTTTAATTTAAAAAAATGCTCCCACAAAAAAATAAGTTTGCTTCCATATTTTTTTAAAAATAAAGGTAAGGAAATTACATGAGAGATAAATGATTTGATAATTGTTTGGATATATACATGAAGAAATATTTTTGTTACAATATTGACAATGAAAAAATTATACATCACTTTATAAATGTTTAGAGAGTACTTGTGATTTTTAGAAGCTAAGATATTTTGATTTTTTTTCTCATGAAATTGTGTATTTTGTAATTTTTTTTCTATGAAAATATTAAAAATTACTTCTTTGCTCCTACTAAAGAAAATTCTTGGATCTACCACTGTTTGGAACGTGCCCTAAAAGCTATACAAACACATCATATATGGTCCAGAATGAAGCTGAATTATTCATTAATATGTGTGAAAAGAAACAAAATCTAGGAGAGTAATTAGTAAAACAAAAACAAAAATGGGCCCAAAAAAATATCAATTATATAGGGCCTGAACGTAAAGTGGGCTATTTGTTTCTTAAAAAACTCAAGCCTAGCCCACCCATTTCTCTCTTTCTTATGGGCTTCTGTTCAAATTTGAATACGATCACAACAACTCAGGTGAAAAAAAAGTTGTTACCAAAGAAAATTTAAGACTAGATTATTTCTGTCCTTTTTTTTTTCTTTCTAATAATTTGTTCAATTTGATATTTTTATTATTAAAACTAGTGTAAAAGAAACAATTTGTATCTTCATGTATTTTATAAAAATAAAAATAAGATAAAATATTTGAGGTTGAATAATAGTAAGCGATCTTTAATTGAAGAATCTAACAAATTTTAGAATAGTTCTAATAGAATGAGATTAACAACAATATAATGTTATCCTCTGTGTTCAATTGAGGATAATAATGGTAACTATTTATAACCATCTTGAGTACATGTCATTTTTTTTTATTATGTTATATGTACAAAAAGTTGGTACCGTTAGTTCTCAAATGAAAGAAAAGAGTAAGACCGTACAGTTTTTAAAATTAAAAGACCGAATTAAATATCTTAACAATAAAGGGAGCAAATTGAAACAATTAAATATAGAAAAATGAAAAGAGTAATTTAAATCCCCAAAAAAAGAGTTTTTTTGGTAAAAATGAAAAAGAAACATATGCTTATCTATTTACATTCCAAATGACATTAAATTATTTCACTTAAAATACTACCTTTTTTTCCCCTCAAATTTATAAGTCCATTTACATTATACCTTATAATTTTACACCATATTTTTCTTAAATTTTATTTTCCGTGAAATAAAAAAAAAAAACTAGACCTTCCATCTTTGTTCATGATGTTCTGTTCCATGAATGCAAGAAAGTGAGAAGCTTCTTAATTTTGCAAGAGTTTTTTTTATCAATAAAAAAGTTAATTTACAATAATGATAATGATAAAATTTAAATTTTTATGTATCTATCTCAATTCTTATCTTAAATATAGAGTTACGATTAAAAATATCAATTTATTTTTAGAGGAATCATCCTAATAAAAAAGAATTATACCTCCTTATAAAAATAATTTTGATTATAGCCAATCTAGTAATATTGATAAATGAGATTTGAGACCATTAAATAAATTTTATAAAAAAAAACAAGAAACTGATTAAATTGAAAAAAAATTGTTTTTTATATTATTATTGCGGACTCGTTAATTTTTTTTGGTTTCTATTGTTAAAATCCAACAGCATGTAATATATTTATGTTAATTAAAAGTATTATGTAGTAACACTATAAACATTTGATAATGATTGTGTGTGATTATTTTTATAGGTGTTAGATATTTTGGTTAACAAATTAATAATACATGAAAAAATTTCTATAAATAATTTATATGCCACTTGTTTTTATGAGAAGTTTATAATATACCTTTTATTTGTGATCTTTTATTGATCTGTTACTTATAACTATTATGTATCATTTTCAAGAGTTGATTATATATGACTCAATTTTATTAGTTATCAAATTAAAAACAATTTTGAAAGTAATAAAAAAATGAAAATTTCATACCAAATTACAAAATATTGATTTGGTTTAATTAAGTTTATGTATTTAAAGTGAACAAAATTGAGCGAACATATTATTTTTATATAGTTTATATAACTTTTTTTCTTCTAAAATTGAATATAACCTAACTGCAAACATCCTTAGTAAATGTTTTTTTTTTCAATACAATTTATGCATGTCACGAGAGTTCTAACTGCACAATAAATTCGTAAAATATTTTAAACAAAGATGGACACGACAAAAAACAACTTTTTCTTAATTTACAATATTTTTGTTTGGGAAAATTTTCCCCTTCCACTGGCTTATTAATTCGTTTGATGAGTATTAAATTAAAGAATTGCATAGCTTCAAAAGATTTTTATTTTTATTTTGAATTTTCGTTGCGAATAAGTTACAATACTTATAATAAGAAAGAATTATAAAAATACTCATAGTATGGTTGTTTAAAATTATCTTATATATCATATTTTTTAGAATATATAGATAAAGAATTAATATTTTTTGTTTTCCTAATCTCTGTGCAAACCTACCACCCACTACTACATTGATGCATGCAGACTCCCTCATATACAATTTCAAGTTAATTCTTTACTCCTTAGCCTTAGCACTCCAAACCTCCCTAAAGAAACCAAAATGTCGAGAGATAAACATTAAACTAATCAACTAAAATTAACATACAAACAAATAATATATGTGTTTGAAGCGGAAGTTGTAATTTAAACATGTTTTAATAAGAAAGAATGTAATTTAATAAAGTTATGGCCAAATTTGAGTATTTAATTTACAGTATATCAAATTGTGGAACTAACAAGAAAATGAATAGGGTACAGGGTCAAGATTTGAGGAAACAAGTTCTGGCGCCATGGGACCCTATAAGATTTTAGATTGGTGAGTGAAGAAGTCGATGGTTGAGGATGGCAATGGCATACCCCACAAGAGAAGGGAAATTAAGTTGTGTATGTCCCATGCTCACGAGGTTAGTAGAGAAATAATAAAAGTAGAGTATCTCCCTACGCCTCACTGCAAACTTATTTAAGATTCTTGTCCCTCTCCTCTTTCTAAACCTATTCCAATTCGGCATATCTTATGATTTCAAATTTCAATTCATTATGTCTCTCAGTTACACATGCATCATGCAAATACATTTCATTCAATGGGTCCAAATATATAAAGCTTTACAACATTTGCTTCTATCCATTACACTGTACACTACGTGTAGTGTAATTTGAATTCGCAACCCCACAAAAAATTCAACATGTATTGTTAAGCGTGACATTTTAAAACGTACAATTGCACGTAAATTATCTAATGACATTCTTTCTAAACGGTTTATTAAAAAAAAATGTAGATGACAAAAATAATGACAATTTTCTAAAAATTAGTAAGTAAAACAAAACACGAACAGATTTGAAAAATGATTACTTTGTTATCACCTTAATTATTATTATTATTATTGTTTTAAAAATTTTAATTATTTCTATGAAAACAAAATGGTTTAAATACAATTTTCGTCCTTATAATTTATTATATTTTCATTTTTGTCTTTGTAAATTATTTTGTTATTATTTCATTCTTAACTTTTTATAACGTGCGTTTCAAAAATAATTTTTACTGTTAAATACCGTTAAAAGAATATTATGTACGTGACAAACAAAATATATATTATATTTATTATATTCTATTTTATCATTGTCATGTAATTAATTTTAATTTTTTTTAGATAAAATTTTAAAATGTACTTCACTACATCTAAACCCTTGCCTTCACCCCCTTCGTGATCACGATTCTCCTCTCCGATCCAAATTCGACACTGCAAGTCTTGAACCTCTAATCGAAACCTCAATCCACTAATGAAGAATAACTTTTCACAATTCATAATCTCAACAATAACGTTGAGTTTGTCCTCAATGACCACCACCTCTATAAGATTATTATCGATTATTACCTTATCATGGAGGAGTTCAACTTCATGCTCGATTACTCCCCTATTGTGCAGGAGCTCATGCGTCGCAAGAGCATCCATCACTTTGATGGTGTCACCACCAATGTCACCTCCTTCAAAGTAAAAAAGAACTATGTTGACTAGTTCAAGACCATCACCTCACTTTTCACAACCACCGTTACAGCCACGAGCACAACACCTCCTTAGAGAATGGAGGTTGGTAGTCCAACTTTGCTATCAATAATAGTCAGAACGGGATGTTCCACAATCTTAAAAGAGTGTGTGTAAAGAGTATGATAAAATGACAATAATAAAGTGCATTTTGAAACTTGGTCTAAAAAAATTTAAAATCAATTTATCTACGTGACAATGGTAACTATTTTTAATGGAAAGTTAATGAAAGAAACTATTTTTGAAATATTATAAAAGATTAAAGATGAAACCACAATAAAAAAAAGATTACAAAAAAAGTGAAAAAGTAATAAATTACAAAGATGAAAATTATATTTAAGCCAAACAAAATAAAAACATATTTTTTTGTTTTAAGTTTTACTAAAATTATTTTTGAACTATTAAATGTTAAATTTAAACAACCAAACCTCTTGATATATAATTGTAAAATCTGTGTTCAAACACAAAATTTGACCCGGTATTTAAACATAGTTTTTATATTATATTGAAGCGTCAAAGTTAATAAACTAATTAATTTTATTACATAGTCAACAAACGGACATTACGTCTCTCGGGCCAGTAGATTGATCTGAATAGCTTTAATCATAAAGAATTGCTTTCTTCATTTTAATAAATTCAAATTAATAAAAAAAAATTGAATGATATTGATGGGATTATAAAAGATCGGGAAATAAAGGGAAGATGTAATAGATAAGGATGTGTGAGTGTGGTAGCTAGATAGAGGTGAAGTGTTACGGTTTAGATTGGGCAGTATCTGCTGTGAAGGACTTCACGAGATACCTATGACATTGATACTGTTATATTCGCCTCATCACTTAAAAACGTCATTATCATTCTAGATTATGTAATAATTAATAACGTCGTGAGATAATTCTAGATTATACAATAATGCGACCACTAAAATTATCTTAATGATAAAAGTTAGAGTAATATGTATTAGATCACCCTAACTATTGTTTAGAAGAAAATTTGAAAGCTAGCCAAGGAATATTAAAGAGACAACACTAACAAATGGATCAGGGTGGGTGAAACTCTCTGCTCTCTTCCACGTAAAGAAATAATAATATTGAAGCACTCACCAACCAAGACCATTCGTACATAATGATTTATGTGATCCCAGTCCTGTGCCTACTTATAATCATGCTTACACGGATTGGTTTTAACGTAAAACTACAAAAACAAAATTAATTCAATTTCGCGAAGCTTATCATGATTTGGTTGGAACTCATTGATTAGTTTAGTTTAATTATCATAATTTCATATATTATATCCTCAAAAGAAAGTACAGTAATAAAACTGAGTAATTTACATTATACCTCTCCAAGTTTCACAAAGTTACATAAATACTCTATACTTTTTTTTTACTGCTACAATAATCTCTCTTAATTATTTAAAAGATATTGTACGGTGATATGTTATAAAAGATGTTAACGTAAATATTAAAAAATAAAAAGTGTTAGTACAATTTCATAAAATTTGAAATATATATCGTCCTAATTTACTCTAAAACTAATAGAGAAAAACTTAGAAATTTATAATCATATATTTATTTTACATTCTATTTTTGTATTTTATATTGAGCACTTGGTATCTATCCATTTCCCGTAATGGTATTAGGGAGTCAAATGGGATTTTTTCCATTGATGTTGTAGATGAAAATGATAATAAAGGCAATATATGATGCCCTTTTCCTTGTGCAACTCACCAAGCTCTCTTCTTCTTTTCTTCTTCTCTTGGGAACGCACAAGCCGTCCTTTGTCGGAAGAAGAAAAACAAATGATGTCTACATGGATGCAAGACATAGAAGAACAAGAATCTACTCCTCCCTCATGGCCAAACTCAAACCCCAACCAACTAAGCCCTATGTCACTCTGTGCTTACAAACCCATCCATGAAGAATGGCACGTGCCCAACAACACCACCACCCAACATGCAAGAGACATAACCTTCTCCCCAAACTTTGCCGATAATTATTTGCTCCAACCCCAACCAATCTTACCCACTTTCCCTTCCACCAACCTCGACCTCTCTCAAGTGCACAACTTTCTCGCACCCAACCCAACCTTTGGACCCGTCACCTTCGATGCGCCTTCCCATGTGGGGTTTCTTAACCCTCAAGCTTCCTTCACTTCAAACAAAGCTGATCATGATGCCGATGTCTTCTTAATGAGCTCAAGTTCAGCCATGTGTGTAGTGCCTCCACAACAACGCAGTATTGGCTTTTCGGGTTTCAAGAGTATCATAAACTCCAATCACGAGGAGGGTTTGCTTCTGAGCAAGTCCAACATACTGAGACCCCTTGAATCGTTGCCGTTATCGGGTGCACAGCCAACTCTTTTCCAAAAGAGAGCAGCACTTAGGAAAAACTTGGTTGGTAATTGCAAAGGGAAGGGTGAACTCATGGGGGGAGAGGGAGGGAATAGTAGTGATGGCAAGAAGAAGAAGACGTGTAGTGGAGAAGGTGGGAGTTTTATTGATGGGTCGGGGTTGAATTATGATTCTGATGAGAGTGATGAGAATAATAATAAGATGGAAGAGAGTGGAAGGAACGGTGGAAACAGCTCAAACGCCAATAGCACCGTCACCGGAGGCGCCGGGGATCAGAAAGGAAAGAAGAAGACGGGAATACCTGCCAAGAATTTGATGGCTGAACGCCGCCGAAGGAAGAAGCTCAATGATAGACTCTATATGCTCAGATCCATTGTTCCCAATATTAGCAAAGTAAGACTTAACTTGATTTTAGACAAAACTAACATTTTCCTTTAGTGTGATTTATTTATCGTATTTTTAATAGTATTAAATATCAACTTAGTTATTAGTACTTTTTTTATAAGTTTCTCTAGAATTTTTAGAGAGATTTTTTTTTGAAATAATTCTTTTATAAGTTAAAAGTAGTTTAAGTATAAGTTAAAAAAATTGGATTTTGAAAAAATTAATTAATAGGAGAGAACTTTTATAAATTAATTTATGTACGAAGTAATTTTATTTTATGAAAAAAATTATTTTATTTTTTCTTCTTATTTTCTCCTTTAAAAATGTTCATAGAGAAGTTTATTTAAACATGTGATTAAGATGATATTTTGATTCTAATTGGATGACAAAACAAACACTAACTTAAGGAATTGTATTAATTTCTTTCTATGGAATAGCCACCATTTTATTGCTCTTTTATTCAGTCATGAACTAGGGTTAATTAACCACTTTTCTAGTCCCAGAGAATTCACGAGCTTTATTTTTATTATGTTATAGACCATGAATGATTCATATTATTCAGTAATAACGTATATAAGGATTCATTATGATACTATTTTATAGAAGAAGTTATATATCGATCATATATGATGGCTAATGGCTTGAAACTTTGTTTTGACTTTGGTTTGAAATATAAGATGGACAGGGCTTCCATTCTTGGGGATGCAATCGAGTATTTGAAGGAACTTCTACAAAGGATCAGTGACCTTCACAATGAATTGGAGGCAACACCAGCTGGATCTTTATTGACACCTGCTTCTTCAAGCTTTCATCATCCTTTGACACCGACACTACCACCCCGCATGCAAGAAGAACTTTGTCTCAGCTCGTTGCCATGCCCTAATGGCCAACCTGCGAGGGTAATATTGCTTCACCATTTCTGGAACTCGTCCTTTTTATTTGCGCACATATATATATTTATATGGTTCAATCCACATATGGCTTCCTTAATTCTCTTCCTGTTTCTGGTTATGTATATGTGGACACGACAAGAAATATATGTGTTATTTTGTGTGCTTTAATAAGGAGGGGAGCTTTTGCTTGTTCTTCGGAACGGCATGATTGCATGAATAGAGTACCTTTTCTCATTTGCTTACATATTTTTTAGTTAAAAATTGTCATCGGTAATGAGTAAAAAAAAATGTGACTGTATAAAAAAGAAACATTTTTCTTTACTAAAGTGATATACTATGGAATGAGACAGGTTAAATTTATTAATTTTAGCACTAAACTCATGTCACAGTTAAGCCTATAGTTTTATGAATTATTTGGGAAAATGATAGGGTGGATAAAATAGAGAAGAAAATAAAAAGTAAAGGAAGAGGAAAAAATATGATAAATGATGATATCACCAAAAATTAAGAGAGAGTGACAGGAAAAAAATAGAAAAGAAAGTGAAATATAATGATAATAATAAGAATAAGAATAAGAATAATAAGAATAATAATAATAATATCTCTATTATTTATTGTTAACAAATATCATATTCTCATTCGTTAATGACTAAAAAATAGAAAATATATAGTATTTAATATATTAAAAATTTTATTCCTTGACAAAAAAAATACGAGCATTAATTAGTATTTGAAATTATTTATTAGTTGTATTTGAGACAAGCATTTTCTTGATGAAACCATTCAATTGATATTCTTTAACCTGCCAAATATAGGTTGAGGTTGGGTTGCGCGAAGGAGGAGCTGTAAACATCCACATGTTTTGCGACCGCAAACCTGGTCTCTTGCTTTCTACCATGAGGGCACTCGACAACCTTGGATTAGACATCCACCAGGCAGTTATCAGCTATTTCAATGGATTTGTTATGGATATTTTCCGAGCTCAGGTCATTTTTTTATTCTTTTAATTAATATAATAAAATCAAACCATGTGCATCTACCTCATTAGTTTAATTAGTTAATTAATTGGTACTGCAAAAAAAAAAAAAAAATCCGTATACAAGTGGGTGATAATCCCACTTAAAAGCTGTTTTTTTTAAAAAAAATTGGGTTAAGTTTATCCTTACTTTCTAAGAGATACATTATCTAAAAATAGTGTATTGATGAGGAAATTTTTTGAATTTCAATTGCCCTATTTAAGAGGAGAGATTGTAATGATAGTATATAACTATATTTGACTTAATTCTTTTACACAAACTTTAAGGTTTGTTTGACGAATAGAAAATCTGATTAAGAAGTGGGATCCATTAAAAATTGTTAATTAAGTTTTTTTTTATATCGAGATTAATCATCTTCTTACTATAATATGATTATAAAAAAATACTTAACAATAATTATTAAATAAAAAATAAAAAATAAAAACTTTATATTTTGAATATAAAATGCATTTCAATCTTTCGTTTGGTAAATAGAGGGAATTGTAAGATGTTATAAGAAAATTTAGATTTGTTCATTTTGTTTTCAATGTCCTTTGATGACAAGTGTTGATGGTATTATACTTTACTTACGCTCCCCGGAACATTCCTTGCTTTATTATAAAGTGATGAGTTTTTTCCCCGTCTGAGAGCTAACCTTTCCTCTCTTTCAGCAATGCAACGAAGGCCAGGATGTCCATCCGGAGCAAATAAAGGCAGTTCTGTTGGATTCAGCTGGCTTCAATAGCATGGCCTAATGGCAACAAACTACTAACACGACCTTTCCAAATAGTCAATTTAGCAATCTTATGTTTTTAATGCTCAAAATTCAAGTGTACAATATAGGCTCACTTAACTTCCGCTCAGTCGAGTTAGGAGAAGAAATATTTTACCATTTAAAAGCACTACTATTTTTGTCAACTTTTGATGACGGTCTCCACTTGGTTTAGCGACATTCTGAATATGCATGTTGATGTCAAGCTTGTTTCTACAATTCATTGTCTTCTTTGTACAATTAGTAGGGACAAAGCTTTAATGCAATGTTTTTTTTTTTATTAATCTTGCTCGCCAAAGTTTATCTTTCCTTGAAGAAAGATATAAAGATAAAAAGAAAAAAAGAGCTTTTACCAGACAAAACTGAAAATTCAATGCTGGCTTCAGAAGAGGCCTGGATAAATGGGGTCTCATGCATCTGCAGCAAAAAATTAAAGGTCTCGCCAAACGCAGTCCCCACTGTATGCTACTTTTAATCAAGATAAATAATGAATTCCATGGGCCAAAGCTTGCGAGACATAAAGGACAGAACCCCGGAAATAATGAGGTCCACAACGTGCTCATACAGAGTATGTTTTCCGAACAGAAAAGTACAATCAAATTTTTTTTTTTCCAAAAACTATTATTGGTCATTCAACGGTGGTGCTTTCAAGGAATGAAGTTTTATCACGTAACCATGTTACAGATATCTCAGAGAGGACCACACCACAACTAGCAGTGCCATCACAACGATTAACCACATACAATTCACTAAAGAATTTTCAAATCCTCCATCAAGATTTCCATACCCATGTGTCCACTTTCTTCTCTCGTGACATGACTTCGACTTCAATCTACACCGCTCGCACGAAAACTCTGCGACAAGATATGACGATAATGGCCACACTCACCAAACACCAATGCACAGAAGACTTAGAGGCAAAATTTAATTATATATCTAGCCAAACACATAATAATATTAATATCCACAATGATTTCCACGAGTTCACGATACTTGCACAAATTACCCTCACTAAAATAAGACAATCAAATTTAAAATCAGATGACCGCTCTTGTATATGAACTTAATTACATTAATGAGTTCAGGTTCTAAGGATGCGAGTAAAACTATGTACAACGAAGGATTGTTGAAAAATGCAAGGCCGATACACCCCCAATAACCTCGCACAAGGCACAATTACAATACTATATTAGGAGTGTATAACAGGGAAGGCATATATACTATTACTAATGCTACTAATTGCACGACACGGTCCAAAATTGGATGGATACTCTCATTCATGCCATCCATTTTCTGATTCCAAACACAAGCAGTCACTTGATAAACAGTCAGATTCAGAATTAGAATTTTCTTCTTCACGTCATATTTCCCCAAACGGATGGCTTTATGACAGTCACCTACTATCCACTCCAGTCAGAGATCTGGTTCAAAACAAAACATTTATACCATGAGATTCTTCTAAGATACTGGATTCAAAATTCATGTGGCACAACATAAGGCAAACATATTTCATATGCACAGATTAACTCCATTGAATGATTTAGTAACCTGGAAGCTATGGAAATCATATCTACGAATTATCAGGTATCTGAAGCTGAATGATTGAGCTGACATTTAACATCTTGCGCGTCTGCCCCTTCATTAGCTGACTGATTCTCTTCATTCTTCGAGCTTAAGGTGCCAGGGCTCATTTTCTGAATCTCCTCCTTGGGGTAGATATAAATTTTACGAACCATTGCAACAAATTCCCTGATTTACATATACAATTGTGAAAATGATGTGCCAATTTCAAGAACAATAAAATTAACCATAACAGGAAAATCAGAGATGTATAATTAGAGATCCTTACTGCCATGGATCATCACCAACAAGCATCATATCCCCCTCATTATCAGTGTAGACAATAAGCCAATCCTTCTGTGGAGAAGTTAATTCACCTCCAAATTCAAATAGCTGGTCCAGTTCAGCAATTAATTCATCATAATCACTGAATTTGGTAAGGTCCACTGACCTACCAAGTGCAATCCCCTTCTTGTGAACCTAAAATAAAAAGCATTTGATCTGATTAAATTTTCCTGTAAATTTCTTGCTGCTATTCAATTAAACTATCATATTAAAGGGACTTACTTTAGTGCAACTTCTAGCAGAACCACCGTGAGATTTTGGTTGAACATCTTTTGGATTGGGCTGAGAAGATTGCAACAGCTTTTCATGGTCATCAATCAGTAGATCATCAGCTGGCTTTGATCCCCTTGAATGCTCAGACTTCGGATCATTTTCAATTGTACGCTGTTGGTGAGATGTAGTCTGCATGTGACCGACAGGCTCACTTGCAACATTTCTTTGTGATACAGAAGGCTCTGGTGCCATGGGACTACTGAGAAGTGAGAAGCCAAATAGCTTACAGTTACTGTCTTTTGGTTTTGAAACCTCACAAGGCTTTCCTGCTATTGGTTTGGGCAAAAGTTCTCTTGAACGAGGGCTCTCATATTGAGTTGGTGGTGGTGGCATCAAAAAGCTTCCATGTGAATGCTCAACTTTATGTCCATGAAGCACAGGGTAGTCACCAAATGCACTACCATACCTCAAATTCCCTCGAACTTGGTAAGTTGTATCCACACCTTGAGCAGAGCCTTTTACATTGCCGTCCAATATACTGAGTGATAGACTAGAGGGCACTACAGGCCACTGACTAAGAACATTATGTTTGCCTTCACGATCCAACAAATGTTTCCTGCCAAGGTTAGCTACAGAACCATTTTGATCAGCAAAGGATGGAAGTTGGTCTCCATGGGCCCCAAAGCCTGAAAGTAGATCTGGATATGTTGATTCATGCCTTCCCATTGACATCCAGCTCTCTGATCCATATCTTCTTGAAGTAGAAACAACATCAATCTTTTCATCATCTGCAGCAGGTGGCCACACACCAGACTTCTCTACCGTATCAGAATCGTTGCTTTCAGCAAAATTACCACCTCTCAAGGCCGATAATTCTTGACCTTGCAAGACCCTTTGAAACCCACTTGCTGGCAAAGGGTCTATGCTTACTTTAGATGAAGCTGTTAATCACCAAAAACATATATCAGCTTTACAAAATCACAAAAGTTCTGCAAAGACAACACTTCTATAAATATAAATATGAAATACCAAAAGCAATTTATCCATACCTTCACGAGTAAGAACAGAGGAATCTGGAGATGATGGAACCACATTAGATCGAGGCCTTTTAGGCCTGGGCATTGGTAGAGGATTTAGAGCAGGAGGAGCGAGAGCAGGCTCTATTTTCCATTGGGAAACTCTCTCAGGACGAGGTATGTTAGATGTTTCATCCCATCTCACCTGGAAAACACAACACAAGGAACTCCGTTATTACCTGTGTAATTCAACAATCACACAAGACTGACTGACATAAAAGCCATAAAGCAACCTTAAGACTTCTCCATTTGGACTTGGGCCACCTTTTGGGATCAGAATCTTCAATTCCAACAATGGTACCAGTAAACCTACAAATTTATAGTGTCACGTCAAATAATTTCTTCCATTCAAATTATATTTTAATCATAATACAATACTGCTGAATTACCTATACAAACAATAGAAAGAGAATAATTGAAATCAGCATACTCAATTGCAATTTAATCAGAGAAGAAATAAATAATCATTAGATATTCATACCTTTGCTCAGGAGCCTCTTCACCTTCGAACCTCATTTTAAAGCGCATCCCAATGGTATAATTATTTTTGAGAGACTCCATGTATTGATCATACGGAACAATAAATTCAGCTGGACTGGTCCTGTAAAATAATATCGACAACATTGCTGTAAATCCAGCAGTGGGGAATCGACTAAGAAAAAACACTCAACTTATTCATGTGCAAGAACAAGGCACAAACCTAGGCTTGTAATACACAGTAAACATGGTCCCAGTCAATATGGCATGCCAAGCAGTTGCAAGAACGCCAAGATGCATACTATGGCTCGAGATAACCGAAGACGGAACATTACCCTGCTGTCTCATTGCACGCCTAACACCAACTCGAAGTTCCCCATTCTCACCCCTGGAAGTTACTAAATTAGTCCCACACCAAACACAATTCCGAGAAGAAATAAAAATAAAAATAAAAAAACAGTGAAATCAAAAACCCTATTCATGATTTAACAAACCTTAAAAATATAAACGCATCCCCAGCGACAAGCCTCTTGGAGCTGACAAAAACACTCCAACCACTTTGCAGCAAGTGTCTACGCGGTTGACCTGCGATTCACTTAACCCATCAGAAACCACAAACATAGAACATGAAATTAAAGATCCAGTTACACATATCACGGAGCTTCAAAACAAGATCCGCAATTAATAGTTAATAACTAATAATTACCCCGAAAGATATGCCTGAATCGCCACTCGTTCGCATGTAGATCCTTGGCCACCAACTCCTGGGTAGGTGGCTGCTTTGACATGTCCTGTCAACAAACAAGAAACAGGGGGAAATCGCCCAACTTGAGCATAACGAAACAAACAAAGCACGTGCAAGGGTAAAAGAAGGAGCAAAAGGAATCAAACCAACCAGCGGAGGGAGGCACTCATCGGCATGTCGTCTCAGCACCGAAAACCCACCGTGAGTACTCGTATCAGACGCCGTCAGCGTTTTACAGAAGGAATGCACGTGAAAACGAGGAGGCGGAGCCGGAGGAGCCTCTTTCTCCACCGCATTCTCATCTTGCTGTCATTCAGATCCACAAAAGAAAAAGCATCAGAACGACGTCGCTGCTCAATTACTCTGCACCGAGAAACTCACAGAAAGTTGTTAACTTACATTTGGCTCCGGAAGCAAGGTCACCTGAGCAAACACCTCATCCGTGTCTGGCTCCGCCTGAGAAAAAAAAAATTTGTCAAAAAGAAAATACAATAATAATATATTAATATTAATTAATAACAACTTTTTTTTTCCCAACTTAGTTCAAAAGCCGAGAAAACCAACGCTACTACCTTCAGCATCACGTTGATGACTCGACAAAGGATCTTTGGTGGGAGATCGTAAACCGGCATATGCTGTTCCGCTACCTGATTTGTTGACGCCTCCACCTAATGCGTGTTTGTGCCATAAAAATAAACATCAGCCAAAAATAGAAACACAAGCACGCCAAATTTCACTATAGAAACCAAAGTCCAAGTGCGGAAGACTGAGCCAGAAGCGTAACTTGGCCGAGTTGTGACGCATCTGAGTCAGCCTCACCGGAAATTTCACCGCACTGAACCGGAGGGAGAGTTCGTTACCTGCTCTATATGTCCTTGAGGAAAGTAGAACACGCGCTCTCCTTCTCTAGGCACCGTCACAAGAGGACCTGCACACGCGTGCCAGAGCTCCCTGTAAAGCGCAGCTTCCGCGTCTGAAACCAAACCAAGCAAAAAAAAAAAAAAAAAAAAAAGTGTGTTATCGTCACACCAAACACGCCGCAAGGCAGAAACTAACGGTTACACGGAGGAAACCACGTTACCTCTCGCGGTTGATGATGAAGAAGCATTCTGACCGTCTCCTCCACCGCTCCTAACATCGTTGCCGTTGTTATAGCCACCAGAATTGTTTTCTCCTTTTCCGTTCACCGAATTCGCCTTGATCGATACCTCCGACGACGCCATTTTTTCCCTTGTCGTTGCTCACAGATCTCTCATATCACACATCGCAAGATCGGAGCCTCGGTTTGTCTTCACTGTTGAGGAATCCAAACGCCAAATCCTCAAAGCTCGCAAGGAAATTAAGAGACACGAAGCAGAAGCAGCAATTCCGAAAACCACTCTCTCTCTCTCTTCAATGGACCCTTTCAACCACTCTCTCTCTCTCTATTTCTATCTTTGTTTCTCTCTCTCTATCTCTTTCTATGTATCTATGCTTTTTAATTTAATTTAATTTAATTTTTTGTCTGAGTGATAAATGGTTTTGCGTTGCAGCAGCAGAAGCAGTGTCGGAGGGGGAGACTTTAACCAGAGTGGTCAAAACAGCGTGCAATGATTTGAACCGCGGTCAAATTTTAACCACTCGGGGGAACCGGCGTTTGGCGGTTGGTCCCGCCATTTGGAACCGGGTAGAGCCGGTGGAGATGTTTTCCCTGCGCAAACAAAGCGATCCACTTGGCGGCTCCTGGGACAGTGAAAGGTGTGGGTGTTAACGGCGTTAGGATGCGTGGAGGAGGGAATAGGGATTGGATGGGCATGTAACGGCGTGTGTCTTGACGGTGTTTTTATTGGGAAATGGCGTTGTCGTGCTGTGAACGGGCAATTGCATTTAACAGCGCAACTTAACCATGGTTTGTTTCTTGTGTTTATTTATTTAAATAAAGAATAAAGAATAAAGAATAAACAATAAATTGGTACTCGTCTCCTATTAGCTGGTTGTGTGTGTTTTTTCTTGTTTTGTTTTAATATTTTAATATTTGAATATTTTACGAGGCGGTTGCGATAAGATCTTTGATGCTGCCGCAGGGAAGTAGGGCACTGGGCACTGGGCACCACACAACTGTGAAGACTGAACAGCAGTTGTCGCCCCATTTCCCTCTTTCTCTTATCTCTTCTAACTAATTCTTAATGCCCTTCCATTTATGCCTATTCATTTCCTAATCCAATCTCCCTTTCCATCTATCTTTCTTTTTATCCATTTTCTCTTAATTCAATTCTATATATATATATATATTATAATAACACAAATGCAATAAACTTACCCATTACTAAAGTTTAATGCCCTAATTAATACATCAGTTATGTTTTTATTGTGAATAATTAAATTAAAATCTGGAAAACGATAAATATTGAAAGTGCTTTCACATTGATCTAACATATAGCTATAATTATTACATGTGTCATGTATACATATATACGTCTTTCAAGTTATATATTTTTCATACGTTTCTCACACGAAAATATGTACACCTGTTGAAATGACAACAACATGTAACCTTCCTTCTGATTTCCCTTTTATTTAATGCGTATTATAATGTCTAAGTAACTCATATTCAAATCATAATCACATAATAAACATAAATGTAAATGAATTTTAATTATAATTAAATTAACTTACTTACATATTCAACCAAAATAATACAATTTTGTTTTAGACTTACCTATATTCAAATCATTCAAAAGTGTGTTACGTTTTTTCAATACATAGGTGGGAATTAAAGATATATGAGTATAATTGGCTCACTCCTATTTTTTCAAATATTGTTTCTTTATTTTGTGAGAGGAGCGTCACCTCGTGATATTTGGATAATTGCTGTGTTTATCTTCAACTACTCAAAGTTACACATTATCTTGCTAGGGAGTTCCCTGTTTGTCTAAATTCTATAATTATAATCGAGTTATAATATAAAATAAAAATGAGAATAACACTTATAATTGAGTTTGATTCTTAACTTCTAAATTGAAATAACTGCATACAAAAGATGATGTCTTAAACAATTTAGCACAAGCTAAGGGTTATCATCCATTTCATGATATAAATATAACCGTCGTTAGGGAAA